GGATCTTGGAGTCCACGTCCATAGATCCCTCAAAGTTGCCACCCAAGCTGATAGGGTTATAAAGAAGGTGTATGGTGTGTTGGCTTTCATTGGCAGGGGAATTGAGTTTAAAAGCCGTGAGGTTATGTTGTAGTTCTATAAAACCTTAGTTAGACCACACTTGGAATATTGTGTTCAGCTCTGGTCGCCTTATTATAGGAAGGATGTGGAAGCTTTAGAGGGGGTGCAGAGGAGATTTACCAGGATGCTGCCTGGACTGGAGGGCTGGTCTTATGAGGAAAGGTTGGGGGAGCTAGGGCTTTTCTCATTGGAGCTAAGAAGGATGAGAGGTGACTTGAAAGAGGTGTATAAGATGATGAGGCATAGATAGAGTGGATAGCCAGAGACTTTTTCCCAGGGCAGAAATGATTATTACATAATTTTAGGGCATAATTTTAAGGTGATTGGAGGAAGGTATAGGGGATATGTCAGAGGTAGGTTCTTCACACAGAGAGTGGTGGGTGTGTAGAATGCGCTGCCGGCAGTGGTAATGGAGTCAGATACTTTAGGGACATTTTAAGTGACTCTTGGATAGGTACATGGATGTTAATAAAAGGTAGGGTATGCAGGGTAATTTGATCTTAGAGTAGGTCGGCACAACACTGTGGGCCGAAGGGCCTATACTTTGCTGTACAGTTCTATGGTCTATGTTCTATGTTCTATTTTTAAACTTAATGCCCTGGTCGATGAAGGCAAGAATGCCATATGCCTTGTTGATGACCTTCTCCACCTGCATGGCCACTTTCAGTGACCTGTGTACCAGTGCACCCAGATCGCTCTGCCTTTCAGAACCTTAAGGGTTCTGCCATTTACTGTATATTTTCCATCTGGATTAGACCTTCCAAAATGCATTACCTCACATTTTTCCAGATTAAACTCCACCTGCCATCTCACTGCCCAAGTCACCAACCAATCTATATCCAGCTGTATCCTTTGACGGTCCTCATCGCAATCCGCAATTCCACCAACCTTTGTGTCATCGGCAAACTTACTAATTAGACCAGTCACATTTTCCTCCAAATCATTTATATACATTACAAATAGCAAATGTCCCAACACTGATCCCTGAGGAACGCCTCTCGTCTCAACCCTCCGTTCAGAAACACACCCTTCCACTGCTACTCTCTGTCTTCTATGACCGAGCCAGATTTTTATCCATCTTGCAAGCTCACCTCTGACCCTGTGCAACTTTACCTTCTGTATCAGCCTGCCACGAGGGACCTTGTCAAAGGCCTTACTGAAGTCCATGTAGACAACATCCACTGCCCTACCCTCATCAATCATCTTCATCACTTCCTCAAAAAACTCAACCAAGTTAGTGAGACAAGATCTCCCCTTCACAAAACCATGTTGCCTCTTGCTAATATGTCCACTTATTTCCAAGTGGGAGTAAATCCTGTCTCGAAGAATCCTCTCCAATAATTTCCCGACCACTGACATAAGGCTCACTGGCCTGTAATTAGCTGGATTATCCCTGTCACCCTACCTAAACAAAGGAACAAGTTTGGCTATTCTCCAATCCTCTAGGACCTCCCCTGTAGCCAGTGAGGATACAAAGATTTCTCTCAACGCCCCAGCAATTTGCCAGCTGCCTCTCTCAGTTGTCTGGGGTATATCCCATCAGGCTCTGGGGTGTCTACCCTAATGTTTTTCAAGACCCCCAATACCTTCTCCCTTTTGATCTCAACATGACCTAAACTATCTATACACCCTTCCCCAGACTCATCATCCACCAAGTCCTTTTCTATGGTGAATACTGACGCAAAGTACTCATTTAATACTTCACCCATTTCCTCTGGCTCCACACATAAATTCCCTTCCCTGTCCTTGAATGGGCCAACCCTCTCCCTGGCTACCCTCTTGCTCCTTATATATGTATAAAAAGCCTTGGGATTTTCCTTAATCCTGTTGGCCAATGACTTTTCATGGCCTCTTTAGCCCTCCTGACTCATTGATTAAGTTTCTTTCAACTTTTGTTGTAGTCCATAACACAGTGTGGAGGCGGGGATGAGGGTGGGGCAGGGGGGTGGACTGGTTTTGGAATGAGATGGGGGTGGGGAAGCTAGTAAAGGTGAGTGCAGGTACGTAAGGGTGGGGATTGGTCAGTGAGGTGGGAGGAGCAGATAGGTGGGAAGGAAGACAGACAGGTCAATGAGGCAGGGATGAGAGAGGGGGACTGATCTTGGGATGAGGTCGGGGGTGGGGAGACTTTGAAGCTTGTAAAACCACTACCTACCTGCTAGCACCGCCCCCCTCAATTTATTTCAGATCCCTCTTCCCCTCCCCCATTTCTGAAGAAGGGTCCTGACCCGAAACGTCAGCTTTCCTGCTCCTCTGATGCTGCCTGACCTGCTGTGTTCCTGTAGCTCCACATTGTGTTATCTCAGACTCCAGCATCGGCAGTTCTTATTATCTCTTCCTTGTATTCCACCCTTGCTTTGTGTGTTCCCAGCCTCCTAGCCTTGATAAATGCTTCCTTTTTCTTTTTAATTAGGCTCGCAATATCTCTCGTTATCCAAGATTCCCTAAACTTGCCATACTTATTCTTGTCACGTGGATGATCCATCTTGGCCTCTTTCGATTGTCCCCAGCATTACAGATACCAGTCTTCAGCCAATTTGATTCACTCCACGTGATATCAAGAAATGGTTGGAGACACTGAATACTGCAAAGGCTATGGGCCCTGACAACATTCCTGCAATATACTGAAGACTTGTGCTCCAGAACTTGCCGCTCCCATGGCCAAGCTGTTCCAGTACAGTTACAACACTGGCATCTATCTGGCAATGTGGAAAATTGTCCAAGTATGTCCTGTATATAAAAAGCAGGAGAAATTCAACTTGGCCAATTGCCGCCCCATCAGTCTACTGTTGATCATCAGTAAAGTGATGGAAGGTGTCAGTAACAGCGCTACCAAACAGCACCTGCTCAGCAATAACCTGCTCAGTGATGCCCAGTCTGGGTTCCGCCAGGGCCACTCAGCTCCTGACCTCGTTACAGTCTTGGTTCAAACACGGACAAAAGAGCTGAATTCCAGAGGTGAGGTGAGAGTGACAGCCCTTGACATCAAGGCTCTATTCGACTGAGTGTGGCATCAAGGACCCACAGTAAAACTGGAATCAATGGGTATCGGGGAGTAAACTGTCCAGTGGTTAGAGTCATACCTGACACATAGGAAGATGGTTGTGGTTGTTGGAGGTCAGTCATTTCAGCTCCAGGACATCTCTGCAGGAGTTCCTCAGGATAGTATCTTCAACCCAACCATCTTCAGCTGCTTCATCAATGACCTTCCCTCCACCATAAGGTCAGAAGTGGGGATGTTCGCCAATAATTGCACAATGTTCAGCACCATTCATGACTCTTCAGGTACTGAAACAGTCTGTGTTCAAATGCAACAAGATCTGGACAATATCCAGGCTTAGGCTGACAAGTGGCAAGTACCATTCATGCCACACTAATGCCAGGCTATGGCCATCACTGCACCTTGACATTTAACAGTGTTACTATCACTGAATCCCCCACTATCAACCTCCTGGGTGTTTTCATTGACCAGAAACTCAACTGAACTCACCACATAAATACAGTTGGCTACAAGAGCAGGTCAGAGGTTTGGAATACTGTGGTGAGTGACTCACCTGCTGACTTGCGGAAGCCCATCCACCATGTACAAGGCACAAGTCAGGAGTGTGATGGAATACTCCCCACTTGCCTGGATGAGTGCAGCCCAAACAACACTCAAGAAACTTGACACCATCCAGGACAAAGCAGCTCGCTTGATTGGCATCACATCCACAGTATCCACTCCCTCCACCACTGACACTCAGTAGCAGCAGTGTGCACTATCTACAAGATGCACTGCAGAAATTCACCAAAGATCGTCAGACACCGCCTTCCAAACCCACGACCACTTCCATCTAGGAGGACAAGGGCAGCAGAAACGTGGGAGCACCACCCCCTTCAAGTTTCCCTCCAAACTAATCACCATCCTGACTTGGAAATATATTGCCGTTCCTTCACTGTCACTGGGTCAGAATGCTGGAATTTCCTCCCTAATACCATTATGGGTCAATCCACAGAAGGTGGACTGCAGCGGTTCAAGAAGGCAGTTCACCCCCACCTTCTCAAGGGCAACTAGGGATGGGCAATAAATGCTGGCCAGCCAGCGACACCCACATCCTACAAATTGAATAATTGGCAAAACCATCCAGGACAAAGCAACCAACTCGATTAGCACCACATCCGCAAACATCCTCTCCCTCCATCATTGATGCTTAGTAGCAGCAGTGTGTACTATCTACGAGATGCACTGCAGAAATTCACCAAAGATCCTTAGATAGCACTTTCCAAACCCACAACCACTTCCATATAGAAGGACAAGGGCAGCAGATACATGGGAACACCACCCCCTGCAAGATCCCCTCCAAGTCACCCACCATCCTGATGTGGAAATATATCGCCATTCCTTCAGTGTCACTAGGCCAAAATCCTAGCATTCCCTGCCTAATGGCACATGTACTGCAGCAGTTCAAGAAGGCAGCTCACCACCAACTTCTCAAGGGCAACTAATGACAGGCAATAAATGCTGACACAGTCAGTGACACCATGTCCCATGAATGAAAAAAAACCTCTCCTATAACGTATTAAAATATTGTGGGTGTGAACACTCATGCCAATAGAGACAGTGGACTTGGCTTTGGTTTGCTGCCATATCTGAAACACAGCACCTCAGACAGTGCAGCATTCTCTCAGTCAGTAGGTGAGCTTGGATGATATGCTCAGGTACCTGGACTTGGAAGTGCAGTGACCTTCCCGGGGTGTTTTACAAAATGGCCCTAGTGGTGGAAGAGACAGTGATATTTTCTCTACCCATTCCTCTCCCCAATGCTGCCCCTCACGTCCCCACCCCCACAGCCACCAACACATCGCTGCAATGGTGACCTCCCGCCTGCAGGTGGCGCCGCTTTCCGGGAGGTGGCAGCAGTGGCGTGTGGCGCCGCACTTGGCCCCCGGCTCGTTGTCGCAGGGAGCGTGTTCCGGGAGCGGACCGGGAGGAGCGGGCGCGGGGGTAAGGCCGGGGGCGGGGGGAGAGACCGGGAGAGACCCGGCGGGAGTCGGGGTTGAAGAGGTGCAGGCCTCGGAGTGAAGCTGCTCCCGGTCGGGGTCGGGGTGAGGGAGTCGCTCAGGACCATCCCCCTTG